ACAGTAACTCTCGATTGTAAACAATGTTCGAATGGCGAACTGACTTTCTCACTACGTCAGCCATTTCCCAATCTTTGGGATAGTCATGTGTCCTTCCGTCTGAGAGCAAATAAAGAATTTTGGGCACATTTGCATCTCTCATTCCCTGAAATCAAAATTTTGAGATACTCCTTGATAAGTTAGGTCAGCTTACTTACATTAATAGGATCTCGCAAAGTTTCCAGAGCAAACTCAAAAGCTCCACCTATCCGGGTAATTCCGGACACATGTCGCAGCACATCGAGAGCTGCCAGCAGATCTTCTCGAGATGTAAATTTGTTGAAATTGAATTCCAAATGTTGAGTTCCACTGAAGAGATTCAACAGGTGGGATGTTACACTCACACCCAAACAGGGTGCATACCTGAACTGGATGAGCATCACACGGGTGGCAGTGTCGCCGATGGTTACATGTTTGATGATGCGACGAATCACATCGATCTCGTCCTGGAACTTATCCCTCAACGATCCCGAACTGTCCAGCAGGAAAATCAGGTCTAGTGCAGGAGCCCGTATGACACATCGAGCTGAAGTAGGGATATTTGAATGAATGTTTAGAGCTTCGTTCAAGTTCAAGTCCATCGATAGCCTTTGATATTTCTGAAAGGTTCCATTCCCATATATGAGCCCGTGAAATCCCTCCCATCACTCGCAAGAAATTGAATCTAATGCGAAATTATATGAAAGTACAGCCAAGATTGCGCATACCGGTTATCAAAATATTTTGACGCCAATAATATTTTCGCTGGATTCTGCGAAAATTTCAATGACATCTATGTATTTTTTCGCTCTTGTCAAAGCTCACATGGCCATATTCTGACGATCGAGAGACCTTCGAAGCTCTCAAAAAGCGGAGAATATGATTTGAGTTTTCGGATCTGATTGAACAAAGAAAAAATTTCAGAGGGAAGGGCTCTGTCACTCCGCTCTGTTCTAATATTTTGAGGTCACGGGCCCGCGAAAATTTTGGAAAGCATCC